AAGTTTTTTTGGTCATCCAACATTTTTTTACTGGCACTTCAAAAAAAAATTCTCAAAAAAATTGAAAATTTCAGTGTTCTATAAATAACTCAAAAAATTTTTGAAATTTTTGAAAATTAAACTGTATATAGATAACACTAACATATACATTCTGTTAAAATTTCAAGTATTTACAGTGATTAGTTTTTGAATTACAGCCATATAAAAAAATTGATTTGGTCGAAAACTGGTTTTGCGTAAATTTCCCGTTTTTCTGTCATTTTTTTTTGTTTGTTTTTTTTTTGTTTTTCTCGATGTTTTTAAAAACTGTTGGAAAATTTTTACTTTTGTCCTCTATGATGCACCAAGGATATTCACTTTTACATCGGAAACGACCCCCAAACATTATTTCGAGATTTCGACTAGTTATGCTATACACAAACTAAAAAAAAAAAATACACATCATTGTAAAATCAATACATTCATCACTTCGTTCAGAATCTAAAAGAGAGGACTAAATTGTATATCTATTATCAGTCGTACACATTTTCGTGTTTTAAGTTATAAAGGCGTACAGCTATAAATATTCTATATAATAATGTCATGCACGAAATATATAATTTGAATTGTCATATATTTTTCAAATCCTTTCTATTTTTATTTTTAGAAGAAAATATACAATCTATATTGCAAAACATAATAATTATATGTGCGTTAAGAGAAGAAACCTGAATTTCAAAATTTAAGGAAAGAGGCCATCGATGACACTTTCAAAGTTGTTAAATCCTAGTAGAGAATTTAGATAAATGTATCAACACATTATCTGCAAAAGTAAGTTATTATAAATATTAATATTTATAAGGTACAAATCTATGCCTACCTACTTCAATATGAATGAACAATCAGTAATGCTCTTGGAAATAGGCAGGTTTTTTTATTACTTATAACTATTTTGTTGTTATGCTTAAATAATACAGTTAAGTAACAATCCGTATCAATATATAATTTATTTTATTTTATTTAGATGAATTATTTATATATATATATWTTGTTTTCATTGACCCAAATAATATTAATATCTATTAGGGTATTAAAATTGATTTTAAGCTATATAAATTAAGCTCAAAATGTTTTAAATTWAATTTAATAAATGTTTACATAATAGAAACAAATATAGGTATTTATAATATAAAAACATATTAAAAACTTRAATATTAATTTATTAATTCTTTATAAGCTTATATTCAATGTATATAATGTGTCGTTGAATAAAATAAAATTTAATAAGTAAATACATTTTAAAATTAAAGTTACATTTGTCAAAAAAACACTAACTTAAATTTAAGCAAACAAATTCAATTTTAAATCTGTCACATCAGTACTTTCTAACATGTAGTGAAAACTGTCGATAAAGAGGGACATGTCGTATTAGCTTTTTTTTTTTTAAGAGATGTAAAATTTTGGTATTTAATTTAAAAAAAAAAAAAATACAATAGATGTAACACTATTGAATACTCAAGAGCACTCTAGCGCTCTACCTATTATTTATCTGTAATGCCTAAATATGTATATAACACAATTTGCATGTCATATAATTGATGTGCAAATAATAAAAAAATGTATAACAATTATAAATTATAAGTTATATACCTACCTAAATATATAACCATTATCAACGGTGACTTTTATTACTGAACAAATCGTTAATATTTCAACGAAAATCTACTCAATTTAATAAAAACATATCATTGTCAATGGAATTCATTTATTATTTACAATTAAAAGTTAAAACTTTTCGGTTGTGTGGTATTATTTCAATAATAAATGTATGAAGATAGGTAGGTATTATAAAAAGTATATAATATTGTATGTGATATTTAAAAGGTATAATTTAACGTTTGTTTAATCTATAAATCATAATAATCAACATTTTATACCTTATAATTACTTATGATACTACTTTTAAAAATAATTAATTAACTACAAAGGTTTTGTTGTTAACAAAATCTATTATGATCCCATTTTTGTATACCTACTCAAATAATTAACATTTTCTAACTTTAAATTTTAAAATCTACATTGTGTGTGATATAAATATTTAATCCAATTATCCGCGCGTACTAAAACGCACTTCTCTTTAAATGACGTTCTTTACTGCCATACACAATATTAGTTCTCACAATGAAAATCCTTTGATAAAAGATTCCCAGACATTTGATTTCAGATTAACTTGCATATAGCTACCACAAAGATTTTAGGTACATGGTTTTAATTATTATATACAAATAAATGCGCTTTGATAAGAAAAAAAACATGATCAAATGTTACATTTTCATTCCAAACAAAATAGGTGTATAATTATATTTGATGGAATTCTATAATATTAATTATTTAATTATAAAATACATTTTATTTTTGTTCATATAAATATATAGTCAAAAAAATCGGTAGATAAATATTTAGGTTTTCACAATTTTAAAGACCTAGTCCACCTCTGTACAATAACTAATAATATGTTCGTAGGTACATATTATTTTTCTATGTAACAAAGAAAATAACTATAATTAAGTTTGTTATGTCATGTTGATATTGAAATTTCTGATAGTTCTGATACTCACACATTGAGTTTAACTAAATATGATAATTTTTATACCTAGTTTTACTATTAAATAATAAATATAAATACCCTCTATAATTTAAATAAGTATAAAGAAACAATGCTATCACTAGTACCTATCTCTTTTTTAATACATAATTTTGTAACCATAAATCTATAATATAATATTGTATAAACGATTATATTAGTATAAAATGAATTGTTCGTTCAGTAAAAATAAAATATGTTTTKTTTTAAATTATAATAATTCAAACGATGTCAATATTTAGAATCGAGTAAATGATAATTGTGTACTAATGAGCTAAAATGTTACATAATATTAATAAAAACAAATGTATTGATTTTGAATTTTAATAGACTAAATAATTTTTGTATAATGCGAAGAATCGTAATTTTTATTATATATATTAAAAATCGAATTTTAAACACAGGTACTTAACTTAATTATAAATAATTATAACTTGATTGATTGCTTTATTCGAATAGCTAAAATACACTTAAATATTAATAAGAGACTTATTTTTAAATTTTTTAGTGTCCAAATAAAAAAGTTTTTAGTTATCAATAATGATTATACTGTAAAAACTTTAATAAACATGATAAAAAAATGGTAATTGACTATAATACTGTGTTACGGGACATATAATAATAATAATTATWATTATTTCCTTAATTTAAAAAATCAATACATTTCTACAATTTATATATTTATAAACTGTAAAGTGAAATGTATTATGGGCATTAGAAAACATAACAATAATAATACAATAAAAGAAAGAATTTATATAATAATACAATTTTTTTTATTATTATTAGTCTACGTATCGGTAACTATAATGGTCATTAACATTTTGTTGGGAGAATTACGAATTTTGTGGAGGGTTACGGTTGTTTTTAACATTATATGTGTATCCTGAGTGTGGATTCGTCGCTAAATAGCTGGATGGTCACCCATCCTGGAGCTAGTGACTTTGGTCGATCCTTGACCACAGTACACATTAGCGATTGCGGCTAACCACCACGCCACACTAGGTCCCAATAATATTATTATTATTATTCAAGGGCGTCTTGTATAGGCAAAAGTGATGCATGACTGTGTAAGTGGATAGTATTTTTAAAACCGTTTTAAAATAATAGTCAAGCGTAATTTTACTGAAGGTAAATACAAAAAATACAAAATAAAACTTATAATCATGTTTGAACTCCCTTAATCAGTTTAAATTTATAGGTTTTATTTAAATTTCAATAAGTTGAATATTGAAGTTTGATATTTAACAATATCATCGGATTTATACAATTTCGTTTTACTTTAGCAGCGTTTCTCGCACTAAGGAGTTACTCACGATTGATCATTCATCATTAAAAATAGGYGATAATTTTATAATATAAATTCCGATATTTTCGTCGTTGTCGATGACGATAATAATAATAATTACAATAACAAAAAAATGTCGACTTGAGAATTCGCACACGGCGTCTTGCTCGTTTTATCATTACCTACGACGAACGGACGGACGGACGTCTTTTGCACGCGGACCGCGGTGGGCGTGTTCCGACACGTTTTCGGTCCGCAGACGTTCGACTGCGGCGCGCCGGCAGAGAGACCCGCGTGCGCACAACGACCGTCTGTTTTACCTGTAAACGCCACAGCCGCCGTTGCCGCCGGTGTTAGCACGCGGTTGATGACAGTGTCGCGCGCGCCGACCATGCTGTACCACCGAGTCGCGTGTATCGCGTTCGTAGCCGCCGCCGTCGCGATCGTCTCGCAAATGTTATCAGGTACGTCCGCTGCACCAAAGTTGTTGGGTACCTACCCCTGTTAAAAATTGTTGTTTTTAAATTTACTATAGGTATACATTTAACGGTTCATTATGTATCATACGGCGGGCGGGGTGGGGAATTTTTCTTTTGCCCTTGGACGGCTAATAATATAATTAATAGTTATGTGTAAAMTATTACGAATTTTAAATTTATAATACACTACATGGCCACCAATTATTCTATTTGTAACGGAAATTTTAAAGATRGTAATATGAGGAATACAACAGCAGTTTCATAATAATATACATATAATAGGACCATATAGAAATAATGAACATGTGATATGAAAAAAAAAAAAACAATAATAATAAAATATGTCGTCATCGGCGTTATTACACACTATTTTTTACGTTTCGATTATTGTATACCTACACTTTATATTATTAATAGGTACCAACTTATCTATAACAGTAATCCAGTGTCGTTCGAGTGTTATACTACGTTTTGGCAAACGTTATATAATACAAATACAATTAAAATATTGTCATAATATATACGCGTGCACACCGCATATTATATTCGTAGGTAAATAAACCGGCCAATCCGTGGTTTGAATCGGTCAGCTTCGTTTTTATTTTTATTTTTTCAGTAAATTACATCGCATATTCTGTACAAAAAACATAGGGTTTGTCTGAAAAAAAAAAACGAAAGAAAATGTATTTAATTAAAAATATCTTTGCCGGTAGAAAAATGTCTTACATAGAAAATAGTACAATATTATACAGCGATGTATGCTTAAACTTCTCTTCCTCGAACTATTACTCTGTTTCGGAGAACTGACATTTTTCATTGTTCAGAGAAAACGGTTCAGTGTCAAGAATGTAAACCGACAAGTGACTTATTAAAGTACATAAATTTTAATTATTATGTTTTGTCATAATAACTAACGTTAGTTTCATAAATCTTATTTTAAAAGTTGGACAATCTTAGAATATATTATATTATTATTAAAGTAAGGCTTAATCACTATCATTCTGAAATATTTGAATGGATCCACACAAACAATATGATATACAGTTTAGAATTAAATATGATAATTCATCTAATTATTATTTCTATTTTATAATAGTATTTAAT